GATCCTGTCCTGGCCAAAAGGAAAGAACTAGTGGAGAATAAGAAGGTGATGGGTAACTTGGGAGGAATTCCAGATCCTGAGACAGGGAAAGCATGAGGACATCAAAATTAGGATACCAGATTACAAAAAGGTGGATTTCATCCACCTCCAGGAGCTAAAAGGCATGTTGTCATGGGAGGGCAGATTGAAGAATAAAGGCACACAGAGAGCTGGGAGTTTAAGGGGCACAGTATTGGAAGCCCAACAAGAACTGTCCCGACACAATGGAAGCACAAGAAGAATGGCAAGAGACCGATGTGGCTGCACAAGGAGCTTTTAAAATGCCTCAACTGCAAAAGGAAAGCATGCAGGCAAAGGAAGGATGGACAAAGTCATCAAGAATGCACACCAGGAAATAGCAGGCAGACCTGCAAGGACTAAATCAGGACGGCAAAGATAAAGAATGAGCTGCACTTGGCAAAGGAGGTCAAAGACAACAAGAAGAGGTTCTACAAATATGTCAGCGAGAAAAGAAGGACCCAGGAAGCTTTGGGTGGGTCCTCTGTTAACAAGCCAGGGGAACCTCTTCAATGAAGATACAAAAAAGCAGAGCTACACAACAGCTATTTTGTCTCAGTCCTCACAAAAAAGCTGCCAGACCCCTAAAAGGGATTATCTGGATAAGAAAGGGGGCAAACTGAGGGAGAAAATAACACAAGAGATGGAGAGCTGTTGTTGGGTCTGAACAAATTCAAAATCAGCAGAGCCAGATAAGCTTCATCCCATGGCCCGGAAGGAACCAGCAGAGGAGATCTCAGAGGCCCTTAGCAACAATCTTCATGAAGTCATGGGAGATGGGCCAGGTACTAGACAACTGGAAAATGGCCAGTGCAGTACCCCTCATTTTAAAAAGCAAGGAGGACCTGAGGAACTACTACTACTACAGACCAGTTAGCCTCAGCTCAATACCTGGGAAGTTACTGGAGCAAATCTTAAGGAAGGCCATATGAAAGCAGCTGGAGGAGGAAGGCTGATCACAAGCAGCCAGCATGGATTTATGAAAAACAAATTGTGCCAAAGAAACCTGATCTCCTTTTTTGACAAAGTAACTATGTGGGTACATGAAGGGAATCCTGTGGAAATAGTGCATCTGGACTTCAGAAAGGCATTTGACAAGTTCCCACACAACCTCCTCATAAACAAATTGGAGAAATGTGGGTTGGATAAAACTACTATAAGGTAGATATCTAACTGGTTCAATAGCTACAAGCAACAGTAATTATTAATGGGTCCGTATCAGAATGGCAGAAGTTTGAGTGGAGTCCCACAGGGGTTTGTCTTGGGCCCAGTGCTGTTCAACATGTTTATTAACAATTTGGATGCTAGCATAGGAAGTTACGTGAGCACATTTGCAGACAATATGAAACTGGGAAGGATTGCAAATGCATTGGGAAATGCAAGCACAGTTCAAAAGCATGCTGACAGATTGGAAGTCAGGAAGGGGAGTTAAACATCCCTTCCCCCGAGTACAGAGCTGCCCTGCCCTACTAAAAAAAAGCTTACTGCTGGCTGTGACTGTGGACTACAAATCCCAGAGGCACCTAGAAGCAGGAAGAGGAAGTGATGAGCAACTCTGCATAGTCCTTCTGCTGCGATTGTGGACTACAAATCCCAGAGACCTTGAGAGCAGCAGGAAAAGGAAGTGAACACACAGGCCATGCTGGCTACATGCCAGAGAGGCATGATTTAGTGCCTCCTGGCCTCTGGCCTGAGTCACTGCAGGCATGTGACTGCATTTACTGAATCAAAAGTGAATGTGTGTCCAGTTGTTTCTCAGTTTAGCTTCTGCAGCTTAGACTAACCTGCAAAGACTAAATTGATTCAGCTTTGGGCTTTTTGACTGTCTGTACAGTACTTAGCCCTGGAGGTCCCTTCCAGCTCTACTTCTCTATGACTTCTATGGTGCAGGGGCTTTAGGAAGCTAGGCATTCATGTTAATATTTCTGTACTTCTTAAAATGTTTGTTATGAACTAACATTACAAGTTTATGAACATTAAGATTGCTAGGGAGTGTTTGATTAAGCATGCTAGAGTGGAGGAGTTTTTAGTGCCAACAGAGGAAAATGGAAGTGTAGAAGAAAAGAAAGAAAGGGGGAGGGTATAAAGTACAACGTATAGTGCAATAATAGAAGTATATGCTGACCAAACAAAGACACCTAATAAGAAACCTGAAACAAGATACATAAATTATGACACTGCTAAAACTTCAGTCAGTGAAGTATGGGCTGGACATATTACTTATATAAAATTAATTACGTTTATATATCCTGTGTGCACAGAAAAGCTTTCATTGGTTATATTAATATAGTTAAAATGGTACAATCTACATGTGGATACATATTTTGGTCTAAGAGTGAATTTTTGGCTTGTAAGCATTCTCTCTTTCCCAAACAATGTAACCTAAATTAATAAAAGAGCTGCAAAGAGAGGCAAATGATTTTTATAAAGCCTAATCTGTTAAAATTTACACTTTGGGTTATTTAAAAACAAAACAAATAAGCCTTTCCTGCTTAAACAAGGCCTGAATTTACAGTTAAGTAGAATTAATAAGATACCAAATTTCTCTTGCAATAAGAGAGAACTCCTACAGTTGCTACAGAAAGTAAAGAAGTCCATACATTTTTTAACAGGTAGGAAAATTGCTCCTCAGAATCTATTATGATGTGGCCCACACCATGAAAAAAGTCCATGAATCCCTTAAATCAGTACTTCCTGCTACTGAGCACAACAGGCCACTTGCAGGAGACATGAGCCTTTGAGAAGTAGCCATTACTTTATCTTTCAGAAGGTTAAGGCAAGTGAAGTTCCCATAACCAGCTATGCAGTACTGCATGGGGTTCACAGTTATAAATACTAAACCTAAAAAACAAAGGAGGAGAGAAAGATTGGAATGTACTAGCTGATCACATGAGAACAGAAGAATAGAGATAGACATGTAAGATAGAAATTAGCAGGTTTCTAAACAACTTTGCAGCAGTGATCTTGACAGCAAAGAACTGACAAATCTGTGGGACCTGAACGGCTTATAAAAAACGTTAAATGACACTGTTACCTACAACAGTAAGTGACTAGACTGTGTGCCCAGGAGGTCCATTCCACACTTGGGCTCTCTTTTTTTCCCTTTCATTTAGTATGACAATCTTAACACTAGAGTTAAATTTCAAAACCTGAATATTTAGGCCCTCATATATTATCAATTGATTAATATGATTAATATAAATGTGTTTACCGTCTTAACAATTATGCGAGTTAGAGCAGGGTTCAACAAGCCTTTTGTTGTGGTAGACTGCCTGTGACCCGGGTGCCATCATGGGGCACCACTCCCCCCTGCAGCACCCCCTCTACAGTGTCCAAGTTGCTACTGCCACCTCCACCTCTGAGCCCAAACAGCAGCGGGAGGGCTGAATTAAGCAGCACCTAGCAAAAAAGGGTGGAGGGGAAGGCATGCACTGCAGAGGGGATCACCAGCACAGCGCAGGGTGAAGAAAGGAGACACACCAGGCAAGGCTGCGAGCTGCCAAACCTTTATTTTGTAGTGGACTGGATCCAAACACTTTGAAAGCTGGATCCAGTCTGCAGGCCCAGGGTTGCCAACTCCTGAATTACAGCACTGGCCTCAACCCTAAATTACCTCACTTTTGTTAGTTTCTTATATGCCAATGTGTTACTGTTTGCATGCATTATAAGGGAGCACCTTAAGTTATCAGAATTAAGATGATGATTTGTTTAACAACATAACATACACACTCTAGGGCTGTGTTATCTGAAGGGCTGCTTAACTTCTAAAAATGATATTCCATAGTGGCTCATAAAGCTTTCTGTGTAGCTCTATGTGATGTTGTAGTGAGAGACAGAAGAATTAGCAAATTAATATGCTAAAAGTAAACTGCCAATATATCTTGTCAGAGGCTAAAGTTAAAGTAAAATTAACTAATTTGAAATGCCAAACATTTATAAATAATTAATGAAGGGTAACAATTTGCACACTTTGCAGGAGTGGCTATTTGCACACTTCATGCATCATCCTTCAGAGGATCTCAGTTTCCTCAATTGAGAATCACTGACTTAGAAAAACCCACAAGTCAGCAGATATTGTTTAAACCAGGATTTGTTTTTTTAAAGGGGAAAATGAGATGAAAATTATAGATTTACTAGACAATACCCTCACATTTTAGACCTTAGTATTTAAGATACAGAAATGTGTATAGTGAAAGTGTTAGACTGGCAACGATGACAGGAAAAATGAACTGAAGATGTTGGAAAGATGATACTCCAGGAACCCCCTTGCTGCCCCCTTCTGTTTGACACAGCAGTGTTTCTAAAGCAGTGATTCCGAATAAGGGTGTCACGAAATACTTTTAAGGCTGCCATGAAGTAAAGTGCAATATTAACAATGTTAGTCATGAGAACACCTACACATAATTCACAAGATAAACCTAAAAATTTCAAATGGAAATCTATAACATCAAGAACATTCTGACCTGTCGTGGTCTTCCCGAGTTCTTTCTAACAGAAGAATTGCTCTATTTTTCCATACCCAAGAAACGAGTGAAAGCTAAGAGCTGGCATTTTCTGAGGGGTGCCTTAATTCTAAAATGGTCGAAAAATACTGATATAGAGTTTTCCTGTATTTGACCTCTCTGGCATAACACTTCGTATTCTTTTATGCTATTGCAAGAAAGGAATCTACCTGGTAGGACTGATGCACAAATGACTGAAAGACCAGTCAGCTTACATCTCCTTTGCAAACAGACTTATTTATGAAACCAGTGACAAAATGTGAAGCTAGTGTACCTCAGTGACAACTGACATGTAATTACAAGTCCTTTACCTCTAAATGTTTTCAAGTAGAGTTAGCTGGATATAAACAAGAACTGTATATAATGAAATCTATCAAACTTCATGATAAAAAATGTTTAATAAGTTTCTCTCTCAGAAGTATTGAAAAACATGAAACTTACCAGCTTAATTGCCACATATTCATTTGTGTACAAATTTTTTCCTTAAAGAAAGACAAAAAACAAGAAAGTCAGACTCTGTCAGTGATTGTTTCAAAGGCACAGAATTGAGAGGTATCCGTTTTCGCCAAAAACTACAACCACATAAAACATAAGTGAGACTCTGCAATGGCTATTTATTTCAGGAACCAAATAATGCTACTTGCCAAAGAGCTTATTGACATAGTAGCAATTAGGCTTGTGACCGGTCCAACTAGCAAGGAGTCCATGCTATGCTTTAATTGCACTGAAGTAACACATGCCCTTAACAATAAATGATATAACCTAACCAACTTGGTTTAATTTTATTTTAAACAGATGGATAATAAAGATTAAAAAAAATCTCTTTCCATTTGGTACACCATTCATTTTAAAAAGAGTAATCTGTAAAAAATAAATTCACAATATCAACAACAATGCTGTTTGAACTGCTTTAGGGAAAAAAACAACTTGCTCATTAGTAGAAAGAAAAATCAGCGTTTCTCAATTTTATTTCCAAAATTCTAAACCTAATTTTATTAAAAGGCATGAGAATAAACAAATAATTCAGTTAAAAAGAGAATTTAACTCTTTCTGAACATAGCATATATAGTTGAATGGTCATTCTATATTCTATACAATCTTCCTGGAGAATATAGGAGCCATTTAATCAGCTAGATTTTAAACAAGATTTCTTTCTTTTTTTTTTTTTTTTTTTTTTTTTTTTTTTTTTTTTTTTTTTTAGTTTTAAAGTGAGATGGTAGCCTTTTGATCAAATAAAACTACAGATCGCAGGGTAGGGAAAATTAGAGTAGACACATTAAACAAAATAAGCATACCTCGCTTTCAGCAAAAACCTCAAACAGAAATTAACTTCAAGAAACTGGACACTGGTTTCTTTATTATTAAACACTCTTGTTTTTAGTCATAAGTCAGTGAAGAGATGGATGTTTTTGACCTAGCTTTCCACATGCTACTACTTTTAAAAGTATATTTTATTTAAGGCTGTATTAGTTCAAAAAGTGAATGTAATGGTTTTAATACTGAATTTTAAAGAGAAGATTTTATACAGAATCCACCCCATAAACATCAGCAAAGCTTGGCAATATTGCTGTCAAGTTGTTGTGACCATGCTGTTTGGAAATCTTTTTTCAGCCAAATCTATATCTGACAAAGTTTTAAAAGATAAATAGACCCTCCTCAAGTCTGAGAAAGAAGCAGAAACAGACTACATGCAAACATTAAGTTTCTCTTGGAGAGTCATTAATCTCCCAAAAGAGACCATGAATGTACAGATGTTCAGGATTCTTCTCCCAGAACAAAAATGGCCACTCCAGGAGAAAAATAACCTGGAATCAGCCAGGGTTAAATAACTCCCAGAAGATTCTCCCAGGACAGCACATGTCTGTAAAACTTACCCTTCTGAGAAAAGATACAACACAGTCCTCCAACATCCCAGGATGCTTTGCTCCTCCCTCCCCCCTAAAGGAGACTGTCATTTGCTGGACATTGCTGCTCCCACCACCCATGGAGTAGAACACACCCAGTTCACAATCCCCCTGTAGTACTGCAGGGAACACAAACTGACTCAGTCTGGGTCAGCCATTCCAGGCCAACCTATGCACTGCTGCTACTGGTCACCAGGCAGACTGAGGAGGCCTGCCAAAATGAGTGCACAGGGCCCCACTGGCTGCACAGTATTAGCATTGCAAGCTCCCTGCTCTTCAGAGGCTCAGTGTTTAAATTGCTAGCGGAGCATCTCCAGATAAGTTTTTCTACCAGGAAAAGAAACCCAGGAGAATTCTCCCAGATCATCTGAATGTGTGTACCCAGCCACAGACCAAGTGTGTATGATTCCAATGTCAAACTGCAACCCCAATCATCTGACTTTTACAGTTAGCATCAAGATTCTCATATCGGTGTTGCTGTAGGAAAAATGCAAATTGTAAACTAAATAGAGACAGATTAAGGGAGATGGGGTAGGTAGGAATTTGAAAAAAGGCCTAGAGTAGAATGTAGTTATATTTTGATAAATGCTCATTTCATAAAGAAGTTACTTCATAGGTGAAGTAATGGTCAAGATACTGAGATTTCAAAATTCTCTAGTAAAATCAACATGGAATGCTGGGTTTGTTTTAATCAAGACTGCAGCACTTGCTAAAGGTAAACAGGTAGATCCACCACAAAAAGTTAAGTCTCACAGGACATTTAAGGAAAAGAAGGCAAAAGTACACTGTCTGCACTTAAAACAATTTGAATGAGTACATTTTGGAAAAAGTTTATTTGCTATTTTTAAAACCATATCAATTTGACAGTAACATTTCAAATCAGGCTTTTTTTGAAAGCCTGATTCAGTTCAAAGAACTGAAATTTTATGCAACTAAACCAAGATATGACTAAATTATTAAAGATCTCTTTTTCAGTTCTATTTTTAATGAAAAAGACTTTCAGATGTGCAGCTTCATTATTTTCTTAATAGTCAGTTCTAACCTTTTCAACTCCCTTAATTTCAGTCAGTTCAAAACCTGATTTTTTTTAAATAGCTACTAATAGCACTATGGTGAACTAAGAAATACTTTTATTTAAAAAAATCCCATATGCCTAACAATATGTGAGAGTAATATTATCTTGGCCTGAACATACAGAGTTAGTCCAAGAGGGTTAAAGAAGCCAGGCAGGAAAGAATGCATACATAAAAGCATCCCAATAAATAAAGTAGCTAGCTATATAATCATGAATGGGCAACTTTTCTGCCCCAAAGCTAACAGCAGGACTATTTTGCCAAAGATGAAATGAGGGAGATCAAAAAAGACATTGATCTGTTAAGAGACCTGCCCAACAGAGGAACAGGAAAACTTGACCATCAGATCAGATGGAGAGTCAGCCTGCGGGAGGCATGTTGTACTGTGGTCTCCTCCCCCACCCTCACCCCGAACCAAAAAACAGCAAGCTATGTTGTATCTCCTTGAGGGTCGAAGTGAATATCTTGAACAGATACAAGTGCCTCTGTGTTTCTTAAGTACATCTGAGGGCTGTACAACTTGCAGCAAAAATGTTATTTTAAAGAAGCTACTTCTGTGTCATTACACAATTATTGTCCAAAGTATTGGGTTACAATAGCTGGCTATCAAAGGATGCAATACACAAAGACAATCAGAATGGCTGGATGATAGTCTCCTATCCCAAGGAAAGTGAAGGTACAGCTATTGAACGTAGTGCATTCTGGGGACTAAAAAAGGGCATCAAAAGGGACATCCTATTCAGGGATCCTATTAGGTTTTTTAATTCAATTAAAAAAAAAAAAATCAAGTCAATTTTGGCCCTTTTAAAACAGACAGAACTTATGAAAGGCAGCAAATTTGAAACCTTTAGCAATTTAAATCCCCATTTTATATCACAGAACAGGTTGTACATAAGTAGCAAGGAAAAGCTTATGTTGCTCAAACTGTCTGCCTCAAACACAAGCTAACATCCTAAAGTTTAACAGTTCAATCTTCAAGATAATATGGCATATTGAATCCTACCCAACTGTTCCAGCTGTGCATAACAGACAATTGTTAACTAGCAAACAGCCAATTTACTGTTTCAACTACCACTGTGAAGATATGGCAACTTTTTTCTTTTTCTTCCAAAACAGACAGCTGCCAGGCTGTAGTCGAGCTCTCTTTACCAACCCACCTCCTATTTATCCTAAAGCCTACCTCTGTTACATCTTTATAGGATTGGAAGTCTTAATGAAGAGCATGTATAGGATGAGCTTTATGCGCTTACTAGCTCCACTGCATAAAACTGAACACATGCAAGTCTCTGCGGGACTTTTCAGTGCTTGCTACCATATGTCATACAATATAAAGTACCTGTCAAGGTATGTATTTATTTTAAATTAAAATAGAGTCTGGAAATTGAAATATTAGCATCAATTTGAAATCTGATAGATCTTCACATTTAAAACATTTTACCCAGTAGTGTATATGATTAGTTAGAAAAGTTTTCCAGGTAATCACTAGCTAGGATGAGAAAATCAGAGGAAGATAAAAAGCCTGACATGCACGGCTGTCTTTCATACTTGGCTTATGCAACTTTCTTATTTTATCCCATTCCCTGTTGTGTACCTGATTCTACTTCTTAGCATTATGCTAATTGGAACTTTGCCTCTCTCTAGTTATTTTGTTATATCTTACACAGGATTCTACTGAACTGTTTATCTTTAAAAAGAGAAATTGATGTTTTATAGCTATAGCAGATAATTGCTAGAGTACACCTATAATCTGATTATTCATGGCTGGCCTTGCATACTATGGACATTCATAGGTAAGTAGGCAAAAAAAAACAAACAACACCCCCAGAAATTACTAACTGCTGGGTATTTCAACCTGCTGCCTCTCTATAAAGGATTAGCAAGCGTTTCAATGCACAGTGTCTTTTCTGCTGAAAGTGGGGAAGGCAAAGAGAAAAAAAAGTCAACATCAATTCAAACTTAACTCCCTAAATAATCAAGATACACATAAGATACACATATGGCTAAAGTAGGAAGAGACATACTACTATACTAAAGCCTATATTCACCTGTTAGTTTAGAGGGTTCTACTTGAGGGCACATTAGATGATATTGTATTTGTTTCTTAGGCTTTTTTTCTAACTCACAAGTAGTACCCACAGTCAATTGTTTCACACGTATGTTCCACTATTAACAAAGCCACCCTTGCCATGAAAAAGTTAAACTACTTCCCTACTCTATTCCTGCGGTGGCTATTAATAGACGATGTATTCAGAGAAAAAGTTGGCCTGGATAGTCATTGCTAAATCGACTATAATGTGCACATTTGTGTCACCAATGAAACAAAAATATAGCTATTTTTGTGCTAATACTAGCTGTGCTGAAAACTGTGCATCCGAAAGTCATTACATACCTAAAATTACCCAAGAATGCCAAGAGGTGTTATATAAAGAAAAAGATAATTTTACCTAGAGGCCCACAGTAACATATCCAATGCAAATAAAAGACCTTTCAAATCACCGTGACCTTTGCAATGTTCAATATACAGACTTAAGTTCAGGTGGAGATGTAATCATTTTTGCTTCTGGATCAGAGGATTATAAAAATCAAGTCAAAGGAAACCAAACCAAATATAAAAAAGTAATAGTATTATAATGGCATGTGGTAACACATTAATTAACCTTCAATTAATATGCTAAGCTAAATTCCCAATTTCTAATTTTAGCGTATTACCCATTTTTTCATAACCTATACCAAATAAAAAAGCTGTTATATCTTTTAGCAATGCTACAAACAATGATTGAACAACAGAAGAAATGCAGATAGAATGTAAAAATACTGAATATCCAGTGCACGTACATCTTGAAGTCAATACAATGTAATAAGGAATATCACACCTTACCTAATCGTAGCTCTCCAAAATTACCACATCCAATTTTTTTGCCAACTCTGAAGTTCGGTCCAACCATTAACACTCCTGAATTTGAAGAGCCAGCGCCACGTGGATTGTGACCTGAACGCCCACTAGGCCGTGCCATTCTATCATCTGGTTTGTCCTTGTCTTTCTTTTTACTATCCATATCAAGTTTATGGTACTCCACTTTGAATTTTTTATCAAGACAAGCAAACTCAAATGGGGTAGTGTGAGAATGGAAACATCACTAGATAAGTGCTCCAGCTGGCCAGTTAGTCAAAGAATTGGAGTTAGTAAGTAAATCAATGGCTGTGTATTCATCCCATTCGCAAAATAATTTTCCTTGATAGTCTTTACGGCAAAATATATCCTCCACATATATCCTACCAGCAGGATTTACTGGTATTTACAGAAACTCTGTAAATGAAAAAGAAGATCAAAGTATGAATATTTGGAATATGGTATCATTCTACACAGTGTTCTAAGCATGCTTCAGTAGGAATTTCTTTAAAGACACTTTGCGCACAGCATTACTGTACATACTAAACTTTACCCTCAGATTCAGATAGACAACTCCCACTAATGTCAGAGGAAACTGCAAACAAGGCTGAAGACAAAATTTTAACGAAGGAATGATTTAAAATGATTCTTTGCAAAATGCATCCAACCTTACAGTAATTATCTAATGAACAAATGTGCCACTATAATTTAAATCAGTTCCACAAATATTTGTCTTCTTTAGCCACCCTAGAAAGAGGAAGAAACTATTCTCATGTCAAACATCTAATACAGAATTCTAGGCAAACACTAGGCATGTTCATTCTCTAAAGTTAATAAATTTGTTCAAAGTTAAAAGAAGAGAAACTCAAACCTAAGTTAATGGCAGGTCTATTCCTTGAACTTAAATATTTCTTTAAAATAGCTTCCATATGAAGTTTTAGTGCAAGGTATAATAAGGAGTGGGTAAGTATATTTCCTTTGTCTATTATTTCTAGCATCTTTGGATCTTTGAAAATAATTTAAAAAAAAAACAAACAACTTATCTCCTTAAACTGAATACATCTTTGTTTAAAAAACAGGATTTTCAATATGCCCTTGGGTTTCTTTATTCATTTTTCATCAGTGCATAACCCATGAGCCAAAGGATGCTCAACTCTTGGCCCACGAGCGAAATCCAGGTGATGGAGTCAGGGCACCCAGGCCGCAGATAGGGAAAATGGGCTGCAGGGGAGCAGTGGCAATTAATACTACCACCCCACTCCCCACTGTCAAATTCCCACACCCTGCAGAGACAAGTCAGGGCTGGGCCAGACCCACTCTTGCCAAGTAAGGAGCCCATTACATCGGCTGGATCAGGATGACAGATGGACCAGGTACCACCCCATCTGACCTGCAGGGCAACAAAGGGTTAGACACTACTCTTCCTTCATTGCTTGGACATGATTTTCACCAAGAATTTCAGCAAAAAAATGGCATGTTTGTCTACCACTGCTATGCAGCCTGTAAAGAATCACAAGGGAACCTTGTAAGAACAGCAGCTATCGTGTGCTATTTGAATCACTTTGCAAGAGGTTTAAAAGCCTAACTTTCTACTGACATTTGCCCACCACATAATTTTTACAGAAGGTCAAATGTTGGCCCAAAAAACAATTAGACAACATTCCTTGAAAAACAATCTATTTTATGTATTCAGATGATAGGAAGTTAAAAAAAGAATACAAATCTCTTCCCACTGTATATTTTCATCTGATTTTTTTTAAATGCATACTTTGTCACAAGGACATCAAGTGTAACATTAAACTTCACTTTTAAACACCATTTCAGCAAAACACAGTCTAACATTTTCATTCGGTCTGACGAACACAAAGCAGACTTGTTACACCAAACCAGTGATTCTCAACCCAGATAGTCCCCTCCGAGTGACCCCAGCCTGTGTGCATTGAACCATGGCCCATGGGGCGTTGTTTTTGTGTCTCACTTCATGAAGCAGAAAGGCCACCGTATCTGCCCAGAATCTCCTGAACAGTGTGGTCCAGACCGGCCCCACCAGGGGTACCAAGGTACACAGCCAACTGGTTCTGCATCAGCTCCATCAGTGCCACCATGGCAGCCAGCTCCAGGGGACCACCAAGATCTGGGTTTAGCAGGCTGTCTCCACTCCCCACAATTTCCACCAATCTATCCTGTTCCTTGCACGTATGTCCCAGGCAGATGCCGCCTGGCCCATCCTCTGCCAAGCCTTTTGTGCAACTGTTGCTCAACCTCCAGACCCCCTCAACACCCCCAAAATGCCGCATGTGCAGCCCAGCACCTCAGGCCTGCTGACCAGGTGGGCCCCTTACTCTAAGGTATCCCTGGGCTCTGCCAATTATGGCCCCAGCACTAAAGTGCAGGGGCAACTGCCCTGGGGTAACTAAGGGCAGAAATTAGCCTACTTGCTCCTAATCCCCAGCTATGACCTGGAGCCATATGCAGAGAATTTCACATGCTACCCTGGAAGCAAATGTGCACAGGACTGGGCAGAGCCAGGGGAGCACTGCCCATCAGCAACCTGAAAGGGTGCATAGAATAATAAGACACAATAGAATACATTAAGTAATAATATATTCTGCATTTACATTAGTTTTTGTAAGGAGTTCTGCTAGACTGAAAATTTTCAAGGACTCCCTTGAGTCTAAAAAGGTTGAAAACCACTGCACTAAAATAAACAATCAGTCCTAACTACAATACTAGAAAAAAAATCTTAAATTGTCAGCAGAGAACAAGAATGAACACCTTTCTCTTTGCAGACCTGCCTGCTGGACATCCATCACTTATGGCAAGGTCTTGACTGATATGCTTCAACAACATCCTATCAACTAGAGGTGCACTGATATATCGGCCGTGTATCGGATCGGCACAGATAAAAGGAAAACTAACATTATTGGCTATTGGCTTTTTTGGCTGATGTAGCTTATGTTTTCCAATAATTTAATTATGCCAGAGCCCCCAGACACTTGGGTTCCCGCTTGCCCACACAGGACCAGCGCCCCCAGATGCCCAAATCCCCTCCCACAAGCTGGTGTAACCTCAGATACACACCCAGCCCCTCACCAGTGGGCTGGAAGGGGCTAGAGTGGAGCAGCTGCTGCAGTGTCCCAAGTGCTGGGGTGGCACAGGTTGGCCCTGGCCCTAGCCCTAGCCCACAAAGCCGAGATGGGCCCTGTAAATGGCGCCAAAAGCCGCAAACATGACTGAGGGCAGGAAGGATTGGGCAGAGCCGAGCTGCCCAGGCAAGCCCAGCCCAGCCCAGCCCAACGTGACGTTACCCGCAGTGCCCGGGGGTATGAGCCCCATGGGCTGGGGGCAGAGCCTGGCATATAGTGGAGCTGGGGCAGCACAGCAACCAGACTCCACTTCCCAGAAGCCCCCACAATGGCAGCTCCTTCTGGTTGCCACCACTAGTGTTGCCGACACTGCCAGCCCTGGTCCATCCACCCTGCATCCATCACCAGGCACACCAGACAGAGCAGGTGGGCAGGGTCTCCGTGGAAACTGCCCCAGGACCTGCACAGGCAGGGTGCACTTGGCTGAGCAGATGGGATAGGGGCTGTAGGATGGGGCCAGTTTCCATGAAGACCCTGGGGCCAAGATTGCCAGCTGGTGACAACATGGGGCCAAAGCCTGAGGCAGAGCCACTTAAGGAGTTTTGGTAACCTGTGGGCCAGGGACAGAGGGGCTGACCCAGCAAATAACTGCCCACCCCAGGTTAGCCTAATCAGTCTCAGTCAAAGACATGCATAAAGTCTGGCGTGTTGAAAGTTTGCTGTAAAGATCTTTCTGGTGCCTTTTAAAAGAATTCCCATATATAGGTCAGTGGAAAAAAACATATCAAACCACTATTTAGTCTTTGCTGTTATTCTACTTAGCAAACAAGAGCAGGCAGTGAACACCAAAGTTTTGCAAAGCAGCAGTAAAAGCCAGGAACCTCACTAAACAATTGAAAGATCAGCATTAAAAAAAAAAAGAGTGAACTTTGAAACCTTGTAATCATTGTTCAGGTATCCCTTTACCATAGCAAACTTTGCCTGCAAGTACTAAGAACATTTTTAATCTATCACCATGAATGTCATAAGATATTATGCATTACTCTTATGATCGTCAAGTCAATTCAATATAACAGCAATATAACTGAAATCATGTAAGCATACCATAATGAAAGATTTTGCTGTGGTTTTCTGTAAGAAAAATATATATATATAAAAGAAAAAAGAAAATGTTGGACTCTTCAAAAACCAAAATCTCTAAAGGTTCAAAGGCATCTATTTAAGTTTGCCCATAACTTCTTAACATAAAACTCCATTTTCAGTTTAACATTTTTAGGAATTTGGACTGATACTATCCACATGAGTAGCCTCGTTCTGCTTTGGTTTTGTAACTTTCAGAGAAAACAGCAACTGAGAAAAGTGAGGAGAAAATAAATTCTGCCCATGTTAAAAAGTCCTGGTAACATTTCCTTTAGGAAGCACTACAGCAGGGGCTTGAACTTTGGTAGATGGTGATATCTGTGTTAGGAGTAAGTGGTGTTTTGCCCTCCCTATAAAAAGCCACCCAGATTTATGAAAAGCCAGGGCAAGGATGATGCTGATATTGGTTAGGAATCATACAGCCAATGAAAGGAATTGGAACTACAAGCAGTTAAAATCAAGTGACTGGGAATAGGATGAAAATCCAAATCTGTGAAAAGTAACTGGGATAGGGACCAACGCTCCCTCTAAGGTCTGGTGGTCCGTGAGCATACTGCTTCAGTCCGTGAGCAGCTTAGAGGCAACACTGATGCTTGCTGTTTGCTGGAGGTCCCAGTGCTAGGTATGTCCAGGAAAAAAGGCTGTCTAGGAAGCTGGCTACTGGGCTTCTCCTCCTAAGGGATGGGACTTACAGCTCAGGAGCCTGGCTGCATGCACGGTTGCTGCCTTCTAGTCACCTTGTGGTTGCTTTCCTGGCTCCCAGGATCAGACACAGAGGAAGGAGGACAAAAATGCGCAGCAGCCTGGGAAGCCAGGGAACCTTTTGTCTGGCTACTGCCCATGCTCAGGCAGGTTTCTCTCTCTCCAGCACAGCATCAGAAAGAAAGAAAGTGGCTGCAAAGATCCCCCGCTCCTCCCCTCCCCTCAAGAGCCTGGAGCCTATGATGAACTTTACGGGACCTGGCAGGTCAGCCGGTGGGCTTGACGCACTTCTGAGGCAGTGCTCATGTGAGCCTTGGTAAAACACGACTCTGTCCCCAGAGAACTGCCTCCCACCTCCCCGGGACCAGCTGCACGTGGCTGTGCCTCCGCCATCATGTTCTGCTCAGCACAGGCTGCCTGGGCTCCTGTCTTGCTCCACCTGGAGCAGCCAGGAAGTCCCCCGAGCCACACCCCACCAAGAGGACTCAC